CAAGCCCTCCGGGCAGCTGCTGTGTCTGCAAGCTTATGAACGGCTGATCTAACCCAGACTTCTCTTTATGGGAACCGGGCCCAGAAAGAACTTGTGATTTCCCCAAACTCACACAGCTAGCTGAGGGGACAGGATCAGACACCCCTTCGGGCCATCTCCCCACTCTGCACAAGAACCCCTACTTACCAGGCTTGCTCTCTGAGGACAACTTTGAAGGCATGCCAGGCTACCCCACCCCCACGAGGCGGCAGAGGTCCTGTAAGCCACCGAGACGAGACGCTGGCCTGCTGTGCGAGTTCGAGGCCTCGGTGCAGGGCAGGTCCTGGCAGGTCCAGGGTTGGGCCCGAGTGCTCTGTTGTACGACAGCCTGTACTGAGATGAGATCACGTAGGGTATTAACACTCAGGGCACCTGCTGTGAGCCCTACTTGGCTCCCATGACAGGGGACTGGTTTGTAGGATTTGTCGCTCACCCTGGCTGGCCGGAATGCCCTCCCTGTCCCTGTACTAACAAGCTCCCGCCGTCACTCCAGCTTTCTGCTGGTCACACCCAGTCCCACCTTCAGGTAGCACTGAAGGCTCGGCTGCTGCCCACCCCACATGGGAGCCCGTGCCGGCCTGTCCCCTCTGGTCTGGCTTTCAATGCCGCTCAGGAACTGGACTTCGAGCACTCCGGGACCCTGTGAGGGCGGGGGTGAGGCCAGGCTTTAACGGGACGGGGGCCGGTGTTCGAGGTGGAGCAGGGGGGCAGATGACCCAGGGCACACGGAGTTAGCGCAGTACCCTCCCGGGCTGGCACCTGGCATGCCCCAGAGCCCACCCCTCTGCAGCCTCGGTCGGGGCTCTGCCAGCCTCACGGTGAACTCCGAGTCCTCGAGCAGCCTCGCTCTCATCTTTGGCGTTCAGGCTGCTGGTTCAGCCCCAGCAGCCGTGACCGGATGTGGCGGTAGCTTTCCACTGCATCTGCCACCTCATCTTTTGGCCCGGCCACTTTCTGAGCTTCAGAAACGCGTCCTCACTCGTACCTCATGGGTAGACGTGTTCTGTGGCCTCTGCATTCAAATCCTTCTCCCTCTGATCTCCCGCCCGTCCCCCTCCCTCCGTCACCGGTGGGCTTGTGGCCCAGGCGTGGACATGATCAGCAAGATGCTGAAGATGCAGATGCTGGAGGACGAGGATGACCTGGCCTACGCCGAGACGGAGAAGAAGGCCAGGACGGACTCCACGTCCGACGGCCGGCCCGCCTGGATGAGGACCCTGCACACCACCGCGTCCAACTGGCTGCACCTCATCCCCCAGACGCTGAGCCACCTCAAGCGGACGGTGGAGAACATCAAGGTGCCGGCAGTGGGCGGGGCTGCCCCTTGGCGGCTGTGGCCCCGGAGGGCTGGACGGACGGAGCTCAGTGTAGTCCCAGCGGGCCCCTGGGCCCAGGTTTGGGCGAGAGGGGGCGACCCTGTGAAGCTGGCCAGAAGCGCTCTACGAGGTGGTCCGTCCGCATACGCTAGGCCAGTGGTTCCAGGGCCCAGCCCGTGGCAGGCTTCTGACCAGCTTCGCCCGAGGCCTGGGCCCAGGGCGAGCTCAGGCGAAGCCGTGAGCTCCCGGGCTCCCCGCGGGGGACCTGGTGTGGACGGGCCTGCCTCCCACGGGAGAGGGGCCCTCTCCCGGACTCTCCCCTTCACCCTGGCCTTCCTGTGTCTTTGAACAATTTTAGGACCCTTTGTTCAGGTTCTTTGAGAGAGAAGTGAAGATGGGGGCTAAGCTACTTCAGGACGTTCGCCAGGACCTCGCGGACGTCGTCCAAGTGTGTGAAGGGAAGAAGAAGCAGACCAACTACCTGCGCACGCTCATAAACGAGCTGGTCAAAGGTACTGGCCCTCCCGGGCGTGCCCTGGGGCCCGGCCCCCCACGTCCGCCTCACGGGGCGCCGAGCAGGGCGCACCGGGGCCAGGTGGCTGCTGCCCTCCGGCGTCGGCAGGTCCCGCCCGGCCTCGCACACGTTGCCATCTGCACAGACCTTCCTGTGAGGGCAGCTGGGGGTCAGGCTTCGAAGGGCCCAAGAATTTGTTTTTCCTACTTGCTGGGCCCTGAACGTTCCCTAAGATCTTTACCGTCTTTAGGAGGGTGGCCACCACAGAGGAAAAGTGGGGGACGTAAAGGATACAGGGAGCGAGCACCCAGATGTCTCGAGCCTGACCTGCCGGTGACACCCAGCCCCTTCCATGATGGGGGTTAACAGCTGCGGTGTCCCTTGGGGCCACTGGGGTCCTCCATGTACACCCCGTCAGCCACACTGGACTGAGCAGGGCAGAGGTGGTGCGGGCCCAGCCAGCACAGGAGACGTGGCGTGGGGAGGGGGCGGGCGGAGTGCTCGCGCGCAGGCGCAGCTGGGGAAACAGACGAGCCCTGGCAGGTCCGAGCACCTGTGCCGGGGATGTGAGAACCGAGCCTGGGTCACCTCGCTCGCAGGGATCTTGCCTCGGAGCTGGTCCCACTACACGGTGCCCGCGGGCATGACCGTCATCCAGTGGGTGGCCGACTTCAGCGAGAGGATCAAACAGCTACAGAACATCTCTCTGGCGGCTGCGTCTGGCGGCGCCAAGGAGCTGAAGGTGGGGAGCGGCTCCTGAGTGGTGCGGGGGAGGGGCAGCCCCGGGGCCGCTCGGGGACAGGCACAGATCCCCTGTGGCTGGTGCTCCCCGCTCACGGGGGCCCCTCCTTCCCGCAGAACATCCACGTGTGCCTGGGCGGCCTGTTCGTGCCCGAGGCCTACATCACCGCCACCAGGCAGTACGTGGCCCAGGCCAACAGCTGGTCCTTGGAGGAGCTCTGCCTGGAAGTCAACGTCACCACGTCCCAGAGTGCCACCCTCGATGCCTGCAGCTTTGGGGTCACGGGTGAGTCGGGGTCCAGGTTGGGTGCCGGTGTGGCTCCCAGTCCGTGTCTGAGGTCGCGGGAGGCAGCACGCCAGGGCCGGGCGCGGTGTCACAGATTCGGGCAGCCTTTGCCACGGGTGACCGGGCCGGACTTCTCCCCGCAGGGTTGAAGCTCCAGGGGGCCACGTGCAATAACAACAAGCTGTCGCTGTCCCACGCCATCTCCACGGTCCTCCCTCTGACGCAGCTGCGCTGGCTCAAGCAGACCAACGCAGAGAGAAAGGCGAACGTAGTAAGTGGCCCCTTCCTGTCCTGGGGTTGGCAGGGGCCGTGCGCACAGCCGCGAGCGATCAGGCGCAGCCATCGCCCCCCTTCCCCCGGGGCCAGCTCGTCCCTAGGACCCCAGGGCCACGCGGAGGCAAGCCGCCCCATCACCAGGGCCACTGTCCACCATGCCCACGGTGTCCTGCCTCTCCCGAAGCCGGCAGTAAGACCCTGCCCTCTCCCCCAGGTGACCCTGCCCGTCTACCTGAACTTCACCCGTGCGGACCTCATCTTCACGGTCGATTTTGAGATCGCCACCAAGGAGGATCCACGTAGCTTCTACGAGCGCGGCGTCGCCGTCCTCTGCACGGAGTGAAACCCGACTCCTGGTCCCTTTTCTGTAGTAACTATTTAACGTTTCTTCGTCATTAAACCGTTCGGAAGGAGTGGACTTGTCACAGGAAAGTCGTTGGTTCGAGGTTGGAGGAAGCGGACTGGAGGCTGAGGGACGGGACGGTGGGAAGAGGAAGGACTCGGTTGTGTGCTTGGGAGGGTCCGTAGCCTGGTTTGCTCGGGAATAAAACACTAAGCACGATCCAGCTCTCGCCTCTTCTGTCCCCCTCTCCTCCTGGCGTGGAAAGTGGGGGCCCTTTGCAAACACCAGGACAACTCTCCGTGCCTAGAGCAGTTCTGGCCGTCCTGACTTAGCACCCTGCAGGCTTGGGCCTGCTCACAATCCCTCGGGTGGTTTCTGTGTCACGTGAGGGTGCCAACGCCCCCAGCCAGCCTCCACCCATCCCGTGTCTACCCCCCCACACCCCGGGGAAGCAGCTGGTTCCCACGAACTGCTCACTGTTCACACCGGACGTGATGCGTGTGGGCTCCTTGTGAAACTGGGTTAAGTGCCTTATGGCAGCTCCTAGGGTTGATCAGCGACCAGCTGAGCCTGAGCACAGGCCCCCCTCCCCGCGCCCCCCCATGACAAAAGCCTATTCTTGCTGCTGGGCCCCCCCATGAGCAGGGCTCAACCATCAGCCGGGTGAGGAGCCGGGTCTGAGTGGGTGCCTAGGCGCCTGCCCCTGACGCCGACCCAACCTCTTCTGGGCAACCGCCAGGCTCCAAACATCCCCAGGGCTTGGCAACCAGTCTCCTCCCCACCCGGTTCTGGAATGGTCTATCAGGGATCCTGGGAAGTCCGCCTTGCAGTCCAAAGTTCTACTTGATTGAAAATTGAGGTCCGTTTTAAATGTTCTTCTCTGAACCGATAAATAAGGTTTCTTAGTTTTTCTGCAGCGGTATTCCCGAACAGGGCTATAGGCTGGGACCAGGCCCAAGGACAGATGAGGGGAGCCCACAGAAAGGCCGCCATGGGCGTCTGTCCTGCCTACTTCCTCTGCCCACCCGGCACACACAGGTGAGGGTCCCAAGCACGAGAGCAGCCGTGCCCTCCAGGCACAGAGCAAGTTCCTGAACAGGGAGGACCGGACGCCAGCCCAGAGGCCCTGAGCGGGAGCCGCTGCGCCTACTGGACGCCTGCCTGCTGCCCCCGAAAGCCCAGTGTGACCGTCCTGGGCCCCAGGGCCTCTGAGCCTCGCCCCACTGCAAGCCCGGGCCGGGGGGGGGGGGGGGGGGGGGGGGGGGGGGGGGGGAGACCCCACCTCTACCTCTGGGACCACCCGCTCACCGTCCAGTCGGGAGGGTCGGGCCGAAGAGTGGCCACAGCACTCATCCTTAGCGAGCAGCGCTGGCACACAGGCCAGAGGGCCCCGGAGCCGGGACAGCGGCGTGCCTGTGCCCGGGCCGGCCCCCGGTTACCCACCTCGCACCCCGGTGCCCCGCCCACCCGCAGGAACTTGCACTCTTCTCCTCGGGCTTCCCTTTATTGGCACTTGGGAACAGCACGGTCCTGGGGGTCCCGGGGCGTGTGGGCAGCAGCCACCCGGCACTGGCGCCAGGCTTGTGCTCAGTTCATGCCTGCTGGGGAACAAAAGGCTCAGTGAGCAAACGCCCAGAAACTGGGAAAGGGTAAGAGAGCCACTGCCACCCCATTGTTTTCAAATGGCACGTCAAGAAGGGGGCGCCTGAGTGGCTCAGGTCATGATCTCGAAGTTCGTGGGTTCGAGCCCCACGTCGGGCTCTGTGCTGACAGCTCGGAGTCTGGACCCTGCTCCGGATTCTGTCTCCTTCTCTCTCTGCCCCAGTCTCTCAAAAATAAACATTTATAAATTAAATTTAACAAAGCACATCAAGACCATGACGGTGTCAACAGCCAAAACCAGCTGCTCAGAAAACCCTTTGTGAACACAGTGACAGAGGAACAGAAACGGGGACACCGGAGGCAGCTGGTCAAGTTCACACCAGAGTCCACCAGTGTGTTAGCCTAAATATTCTTACCTTGTTGTGTCCGCAACCCCCAGAGCCCCTCCTGTCCACCCCATCCCCCACTCCTGCCCACTCCCCCACCCCCCTCAGCAGATGCGCCAGCAGTGAGGAAAACGGGTACCACGAATTCGGGTTTTTTAAAAAAATTGGTTCACCGACGCGTAAATATCTAGTAAAAGCCAAGAAATGCTCGGACTCGGGAAGCGGGTTCCACGAGGGCCACACAGGACCTTTCCTCCACCGGAAACCCGTTTGTGAGCAAACAGGTGGGCACCCAGGTGCTCATTGTTTAAGACACACAAAGGGCAAGCGTTCCATTGATACAAGTCCGTCAGCGTTGGCTTTGGCCAACAGGCACCTCCTTCCCGAGCCAACTCCGCTCACCTCAGTCTAGGCCACATACTGCTTCTTCCTCTTCCTTTTCTCGGGCTCTGCAAGTAAGAGTTCCAGTTTCCTCTTGAAGAGGATGAGCTTGGGCCCCTTGTCCTTCTCACTCCCAAGTCTGGGAGGCGGCCGGGACCCTCTGGTCCTGCCCTGCGTGTGTCTGCCGGGCTCGGAGGGCTCCGCGGCGGGGAGGAGGGGACCGGCTGCCCTGGGCCACCCCTCCTCCGTCATTCTCCGGTCCTCTGGGGCTCCGGACGGCCCGGCTGGCCACCCTGGCGCCTCAGGGCCGCTGGCCTCGACAGGCCACATGTCCACGTCGTCGGCCTCCGGGGACGCAGGGCCCCAGCTGGCAGCTTTGAGGGGGCGGTCTGGGATTTTTGAGGAGAGAGGATCTTCTACGCGGACCTCTCCTGGACTCCTGGACGTCGGTGCGTGTGAAGGCACAATACAGGTCACGTCGCCCGGACAACGGGTGCCGAGACTGTAGACAGAATGGCTGGGGGTATCTTCCGAAGACTGGCCGTCGTAAGGATCTAAAAACTGACGACATCATTTATTTCTGAGCCAATTAGCAATTTCTACCAGGGTAAAGCACCACACACTTCTCACGCGCAGAAGTTCCTCTTTCCATCACTGATGGTGGCAAATTTTGCAACTCTGCCTTGCAATTGTTAAAAATGCATTAGATGGGCACCCGGCTGGCTCCATCAGTTAAGCGTCCGACTCGATTTTGCCCCAAGTCATGATCTCACAGTTTGTGAGTTCGAGCACCGCGTCGGGCTCTGCGCTGAGGGACTTTGTCTCTCCCTCTCTCTGCCCCTTCCCTACTCGATCTCTCTCTCAAAATAAATAAACTTAAAAAAAAATAAATAATAGGGGCACCTGGGTGGCTCAGCCGGTTAAGCATCTGACTTTGGCTCAGATCACGATCTCTCGGTTCACAGGTTTGAGCCCTGCCTTGGGGTCTGTGCTGACAGCACGGAGCCCGCTTGGAATCCTCTGTCCCCCTCTCTCTCTGCCCCTCCCCAGCTGGCACTCACTCTCAAAAATAAACATTAAAAAAATAAAAAATTGGGGCGCCTGGGTGGCTCAGTCAGTTAAGCATCTGACTTCAGCTCAGGTCATGATCTCACAGTTCGTGGGTTTAAGCCCCGTGTCAGGCTCTGTGCTGACAGCTCAGAGCCTGGCACCTGCTTCAGATTCTGTGTCCCTCTCTCTTTGCCCCTCCCCTGCTCACTCGCTTTCTCTGAAAAATAAACATTAAAAAAAATTTTTTTAATAAAAAATAAAAAATGCATTAGACAGATACCCCATAGCATCCAAAAGGCCTGAGGGCCCACCATCACTGGGGGCCCAATCGGAGCCCCATAACTGAGCCCTTATCCCAGTGCCGTGCACAGGCCGGTCCACACCACCAGGGGCCCGGGAGGGCGCCGTCTGAGCTCACTTCCTCCCAGAGTCGTTTTCCTGGCCCGCCTGCCTCAGGCTCCCTGACCAAGGGGTGCAGACACGTGCCCCTCATCACCCACCACCCCCACACGAAGGGCTGTCCAAGGCGGCCCAAAGAGGCGGAGATGAGCGTTTAAGTCCAGTGGTCACGGTTTTCAAAGGTGCCCGCGCTCTGTCCTCAAAGGCCACGTGTGCAGGTCAGCAGCTGGTCGCCTCTTTGTGACCGCTGGCTCAGGGGGCCCTGGAACTCTCTGGATCCCTTATCACACGGCTCCACTGCGTGTACCCAACCTCGTACCCGAATTCCTTGACCCGAATTTCCTATTTCTGACCTGACCTCGTACCCGAATTTCCTATTCCTTACTCTAGCTTTTTACCCTCCTGCCAAAGCAGCTCTGCCAGGAGGGGTCTCCAGGAAAGTCTAAGGCCCCGCGACTGACCGCCGTCACCTCCCCCGCTGACAGTGGGGAGCTGCACCCCTGGTAACTCCCAGCGCTGCGCTGACCCCCCCCTCCCAGCTCCGCCAGGGCCCCGTGAGGACCGGTGAGGTGTTCCCCTCTCACTGACCACGGACGGGGCTTCAGTCACACCCCGAGAAAAGGCCCCGGGGCTGAGCTCAGGCAGGGACCCCCGTGGGGTCATCTCACCTGGGTGGTGAAAACCTCCCGAGAGAGCTCATTTCTTCTGTGGACAGTCAACGCTGTCACGGAGTCCCCAAAACAGGGAATAAAATAGCTAACAGCAGTCTGTAGGCAACAGTAATCATTTCAGATTCAGAGACCGCTCAGAGTTGTCGGAGTTCACAAAGCCAGCATCGTGGGACCCCCCCCACGATGGCCTCAAGGCCCAGGCCCGAGGGGGTACCCGTGTGGGGGAGGCTAACGGTCTCGGCCTGCAAATCAGCCAACAGCATCCATACTTACAAACCAGGGGATGCCGGGATAGGACGTTTATCCTCGGGCTAGAATGGCTTGGGTTGGAATGGCAGGACAGCATGACCTGGTGCCTCAAAGCACCATGAGACCAAACATTCACCATCCCCGAACTGATTATGGAGATCGATTTTAATTTTGATTGAATTTAAAATTTTTTTTTTTCAACTTTTTTTTTTAATTTATTTATGGGACAGACAGAGACAGAGCATGAACGGGGGAGGGGCAGAGAGAGAGGGAGACACAGAATCGGAAACAGGCTCCAGGCTCCGAGCCATCAGCCCAGAGCCCGACGCGGGGCTCGAACTCACGGACCACGAGATCGTGACCTGGCTGAAGTCGGACGCTCAACCAACTGCGCCACCCAGGCGCCCCAATTTCGATTGAATTTAATCTACCCCAGCCGGTAGAATGTGCCACTCTTGATCTCCAGGATGTGAGTTCAAGCCCCATGCCGGGGGTAGAGATTAATTAATTTTGAGATTGCAATTACTCAAACTTATGGCCGTGTCAATCTTCCAGGGGAAACTACTTTGAGTCTTTTTCTTACTTAAATGTTTCGGGGGGGTGGGGAGAAAAAAAAGGAAACATCCATTTAAATATCAAAGTGAAGCTCCTCCTCAAATATAGTAACTCCGTTCTTAACCAGAAAAGGGCACACACAGCAGGTCCCAAACCACTCTCCTTGCAAAGTCCTCCTTGAAGGGTTGGCCCGTGGCTGGTTCTGGGGACTTGGATTTGGGGAGGGCTCCACCGTCCTCTAAGTGAGGGGACTGGCTGCTGGCCCATTCTATCACCTACCTCTCTCCAGATACCTTCAATTAAGTCCATGTGATTCTTTTTGTGATTGGCCTGGGGAAATTTAAAGAAACAAAGACAGATGGTGCTGAATAATCCTTTCGATGAAGGCAGGCGGACAGCAGCTCAGCGTTCAAGAGCAAGGGGCAGAGAGAACCCACGCCCGCGGCTCCCGCCACACCGGACACTCGGCGGATGGCGGCCCTCGGGGGTGGACAAGAAGGACTTCCCTGGTCTGAGGGACTAAAATGCAAACGTGGGCCGCCATGAATAGGAAGAGTAGAACCAGGAATGTGGCAAGAGGGCGAATTCAGCAGCTGGATTCAACCGGGGAGAGAGAACCCTGGAACTTATTCTAAACCCAAAGCCAGAAGATCATGGAAGATACTAGACCATCCGTCCTAACCCCTTCCTTTACAGATGAGGCCCAGACAACAGCCAGGCCTTGCTTGCTCAGGGTCCCTCGAAGAACCCGGGGCTGGCACCAGATATTCTAGAACCCTCCTTGCTAATCCCAGGCTGCTGGGAGAAAGCAGCTCTTGCTTTTTCTCATCGACAGACAGACTCCCAAAGGACAGGAGATTGAACACCCCTGCTTTTGAGAAGAGAAGCCCTGTAAAGATGTTATCAAGAACCGCTGAGGATACCATTTCCACAGAAGGTGCGGGCCCAAAGCAAGGGTTCCTGGTCTGGGGCACACGGGGTCTCCCGCCCTCCCCCCATGTCCACTAGCAGGGGAGGGGGCGGCAAGCAGGAGAGCACCTTGAAGCGATGGGGTGTGTTCCTCCACCTCTTCTGGAAGCCGGCCCTGGTGCTAGCAAACGCCGCCCTGATGCAGGCGGGCCGGCCGGACCTCAGACCAGCCATGGCTGGGGCCGCTCAGGGTGGGCTTTTCACTTCGCTACAAAACATCAAGTTCACAGGGACAAAGCACAGGTCACTGGTTGCTGGGGGCGGGTGAGGGCTTGGCCACAAAAAGGGCAGGAGGGAACCTTCCGGAGCTGTGGGACTGTGTGCCTCGGCTGTGATGGCGGTCGCTCTGTAGGACGCATTTGTCAGAGTCAGAGCTGCGTCCCAACGGGGCTGGGTTTCACCGTGGGTGCTACCTCCCCAAGACAGATCTAGAGTTTTCCCAAAGCGTTTTAGGGAACCCGCGGGCAGCTGGCGGCGGGGAGTGTAGCCCGTGGGCTTCGCCTCTGTGAGGGGAAAGCCCCTTTGCCCCGAGAAGCTCGGTCTTAACAAGCTCATTGGAAATGTCACACATTCAGTATGGAAACCAATTTGACAATAAATTTCATATTTTAAAAAAAAACAAACAAAAAAAAGAAAACCTTATTTTACGAGGAAAATATATTCTTTAATTGAGACTTTCCTTTTTACGACGCTAACTACTATCAACAATTTCAATTTCTTTTGAAATAAAGCACAGATAAATCTAGGGGCCAAAAAAAGGGAATGTCACACATTCATTGACACTGAAAGTTCTAGACTATTGGGGGCGCACCCACTCAGCTCAAATGTCCTCCCCCTTTAACAGATGAAGAACGTGAGCCCGGGATGGGGACTGACCCACCCGAGTCAGAGAGCTTTTCCCAAGTGTGAGGTTGTTAAAAAAACAACTTTTTAAAAAAAACAACAGGTACCCAAAAAAGAGTGAGAACAGCAAAAACCAAAACAACTTACCCAGAGCACGAGGGGCTGCAGACCTACCTCCGCGGAGTCTCATGTCCCTGGCTTTCAAGAGTCCTTGCGGAAAGGCACCGCCAGGCCCTGAGGGGAAGCGCCACAGTCACCACACGCACGCCTACCTCCCGCTTCCCAAAGTGGGCTCCGTGGCACACCAGTTCCGGGCCAAGGTCGGAGGAACAGGAAAGGATAAAACCAGACCCTAAAGCACAAGGCACATTAGCATCTTCAAGGCTAGAACGGTTCCCAGCAAAAATCAATTTCTTTAAGGGGCGTCTGGGTGGCTCCGTCGGTTGAGCGTCCGACTTCAGCTCGGGTCATGGTCTCGCAGTTGGTGAGTTCGAGCCCCGTGTTGGGCTCTGTGCTAACAGCTCGGAGCCTGGAGCCTGCTTCAGATTCTCTCTCTCTCTCTCTCTCTCTCTCTCTCTCTCTCTCTCCCTCCCCCTCCCCTGCTCATGCTCTGCCTCTCTCTGTCTCTCAAAAATAAGTGTTAATAAATAGTTTTAAAAAATCAATTTCTTTAAGTATTAACTGAAGTCCGTCTGTACTTCCTTCAGATGTCATTAGCTTTCACCTCGCCTCCTCTTTCTGCCCCCGGGTCCCACCCAGGACACTACATTCCATTCAGTGGCCACTCAGTGGCCACATCCTCTTAGGCCCCTCTCGGCTGTGACAGCGCCTCAGGCTCTCCTCGCTTTTGATGACCTGGACGGTTCTGAGGATCGTCTTGTAAGATGTCCCCCCGCTGGGATTCGGCTGACGTTTTTCTTCCGAAATCACGAGGACTGTGGATTTGGGGAGGCCGCCCACAGAGGGGCAGTGCCCTCATCGCACGGGTGTCACCATGAAGTTTTACAGGGGACCTCGCCATGGCCACCTGGCTGGCACGGCACCTGTCGGGTTTCTCCCTCCCGGCCCTCCTGGGACACGGTCACGCCAGCCACCACACTCAACGACTGGAGATTTATGCCCCCGCGCAGACAGGGAGCGTCTACGGAGCTCCCTCCGCGTGGGAGATTTTTCTACCTGCTTATTGATTTACTCAACCACCCGTGGCAGTGTGGATTCACGCTTATTTTACACTTGGGTTATAATAAATACGACTTCATTTTTGGGGTGCAAGGGTATGTGACTCGATCTCGGGGTTGTGAGTTCCGGCCCCACATTCAGCGTAGAGATTACCAAAAAAACTAAAACATTTAAAAAGAATAACTACATACATGCTACGCGATTTAGTCCCGTTTTGGCCGGAACTCGTTCCGTTGACTCCTGTGTCCCTGTGACATGTCCAAAGCAACTTAACTTTGAACTCCGAAGGAACACGTCCTGTTTCTCTCTCCAGGCCAAGTGCAGATAAAAGTACCAAAAAAGTGAAATTATAACAAGTAGAGGAACCAGACCCCTCTTTCCTCCTCGCTTTGTCTGACGGAGGTACAGGCCAGGGTCAGTGCCAACCCCATGTTTTCTAGACCAGCTGGTTGGCACCGTGTTAAAGGGCTTCTTACGTACTTTTTAACGAAAAGGTATTTCATGCGTGTGGTTAAAAAAAAAACAAAAACAACCACCATTAAACATCATACAATAAATACACGAGGTCCCCCAGATGCTGACTGTGGGCCACCCTGTGCGTCCCCAGGACATGCAGAGTGGATCCACATGCAGGCTTTTTAATGTCTACATGTTTGTTTATTTTGAGAGAGAGAGAGAGAGACAGAAAGAAATGTGGGGGAGGGGCAGAGAAAGGGAGAGAATCTTAAGCAGGTTCCACGCTCAGTGGGGAGCCCGATGTGGGTGGGGCTCAATCTCGACCCTGGGATCACGACCTGAGCCGAAATCAAGAGTCAACCGCTCAACTGACTGAGCCACCCAGGCGCCCCCACACGGGCTCCTTTCTACGCACTTGTCCACGTGGCGGGGCAGGACTCTATCTCGTGATCTGTCCACAGGATGTAAGGACTACGAGGCTCGGCCTTTTAACCCAAGGGCTGCCGCTGCCTGTCCCCCCACAGCTCCCGGGGGTGGGGGAAGCTCATGATTTCAGGGGAGCGCGTGAGGCCTAAGGCAGGCTGACGGTGCTGGCCTTGTCCTAAAAAAGGCCTTCCTGCCGGGAAGCTGTGAGAACGTCAGCCCGTCCCCTTGGGCTGCATGTTTGAAAATCTCCTAATGAAGAGTTGAGAAGTCACCACCTCTGCCCTGAGAGCCACCAAATCCCTACCTTCGAGCGAGTCCTGGGTGTTAAGCTCTAACCCTCAGTGCCGCTGCCCACCCTGCATCTGCCCAGCTACACGCGCCCACTCGCGTGCACACACGAGCACCTGCACCCACGTCCCTGGCCCCAAGGCCCCACCCCCGCCTCTGGTGACCCTGGTCTCCACCTCCCGGCTCCGCACGTCCGGGCCTCACCGGGATCTCTAACAGGTTCTCCCAACTTACTTGTCCAAGGTCAGCCGGCTGACCTTCCCCAAACCTGCCGCACCGCAGCCCTCCAGGCTCGGCACAGGCCGCTCTGCTGATCTTGCTGTTCAAGCTACAGTCTTCCCGTGGCCCCGACCCGTTCCCTTCCAAACCCCACGATCCGTTCATCAGCCAGCTTCCAGATGAGCCCAGAATCCCATTGCTTCTCCCCACTTCCTCGCCCCAGAGCAACGCTGTTAGAGCTTGGCTGGCATCACACGGTATCCCTCCCGCCCCCTGTGGCCTCCCGATCCCTCCCAGCTCTGCTCGTCCACCCCTCCACGGCTGGCGGTCCCCCCTCACGGGCTGAGCCCCTCACTTCTAACCTGTCTTTCCGCTGAGGCCACCCTCCCACGAGGCCTCGCTAGAGGCCCCCCAGCTCACATCCCAACCTCCCGCTCACACCGCCTCTTCTCACGCAGGCGCACAACACCCACCACTGCATTTTTCTCCCTGGTCCCGGTCACTCTAGCAATCTCCGTGCCCTCCTGCTCTCTCTCTGGGATCGGCAGCCCCTTTCAACCGACTTGAACTCCGTCACCTGGACTTTTTGCTTCTCCGTCCACAGCCGTGTCCCCAGAGCCTGGCACAGCACTGACCACGGGGTGATCAACAGGTATTTCCTGGAGGCCTGTGTGCGTGCACGTCCCACAGTGGCCCCCATCCGCTACGTCCCCGGCCAAGTGCATATTTTTTAATATCCGGTGGTCATGGACAATTTTACTTTTTTAAATTTATTTTAATGTTTATCTATTTTTGAAAGAGCGCTAGCAGGGGAGGGGCAGAGAGAGAGGGAGACCCAGAATCCGAAGCAGGCTCCAGGCTCCGAGCCGTCAGCACAGAGCCCCACGTGGGGCCTGAACTCAGGAACCGTGAGATCGTGACCTGAGCCGGAGTCGGCCGCTCAACTGACTGAGCCCCCCGGGCGTCCAGCGGTGCATTTTCCTCCAAGAGGTGTCCCTGCTTCTCCAGTGTAGCTACAGTGACACCACCACCCACTAAGACCTGCCACCCTGCCCCAGGCCAGACAGCAGCTCCCATTTGCCAACTGCCAGATGGCTAAGAGTCAACGTGGTAATTTGACATTTGCTACAAATTGAACGCTTGGCCAATTTTCCTAACAAAGCTTTACAATTTTTGCTTTAGAAATAGAACGTTTTAGTGTACTAATAAAACACTGGAAAATAAAGAGCAAAGGGGTGGCTGGGCGGCTCAGTCGGTTGAGCGGCCGACTTCGGCCGAGGTCATGATCTCGAGGTTTGTGGATTCGAGCCCCGTGTCGGGCTCTGGGCTGACGGCTCGGAGCCTGGAGCCTGCTTCAGATTCTGGGCCTCCCTCTCTCTCTGCCCCTCCCCTGCCTGTGCTCTCTCTCAAAAATAAGCATTTTAAAATTTTTAAATAAAAAATTTTTAATGAATGAACGAATGAATGAATGAATGAAGAGCCATTTTTACATTTTTCTAATCACAAGGTGAAATGCTGGCCAACAAGGCAGGAAGAAGAAAAAAAATGATGGGCCAAGACCTCCCCCAAACAATCCAAAGCCCCAGAGACTAGGGTGACCTCCTCTGGGAGGGGGGGGGGCAGGAGAGGGGGCGGTCCAGGCCCAGGACTCCTTAACCTCAGCTTCAAGCTCTCTGGGACCTGTCCCCAGCCCCTTGTGACACCGCCCCTGGAGCCACGTCCAGGAAGCGTGGCCCTGGGGGGTCGGGCCCACTGCCTAGCTGAATGAAGCTGGGTCTGAAGGTTCCTGCCTGGAGTCCAGGAGCAGGGGCTACAAACGCAAGGTGAAGTCCAGACAGCCAGCTCCCGAGCGGGGGGCCTACGGGCAGACACGCCGGTCTGCAGGAGGGAGGAATAGAACACATGCAAAATGATCTTTCGGCCAAGAGGAATTCCGCGAGTGTACTCTCAAGACGTTGGAAAAAGGAGGAAAAATTATGGTGAGGCCTCATCCGCCACCATCAAGAGGCACGGTGGGGTCATCAGAATTCGGACCGGGTTTGTTCTAAGTTGGCCACCAAGCTGATCTCAGTACTGAAGTAAATTTTGCTTTTCTGCTTTAAAGGAAAAACACATTTTAAAAGTTGTCTCTTGGGGCGCCTGGGTGGCTCAGTCGGTTGAGCGTCCGACTTCGGCTCAGGTCATGATCTCGCCATCTGTGAGTTCGAGCCCCGCGTGGGGCTCTGTGCTGACAGCCCAGAGCCTGGAGCCTGTTTCAGATTCCGTGTCTCCCTCTCTCTCTCTGCCCCTCCCCTGTTCATGCTCTGTCTCTGTCTCAAAAATAAATAAACGTTTAAAAAAAAAATTAAAAATAAATAAATAAATCAAAAATAATAAAAGTTGTCTCTTGGGGCATGTGGGTGGCTCAGTCGGTGAAGTGTCCAACTTTGGCTCAGGTCACAATCTCATTCTTTGTGGTTTCAAGCCCTACATCGGGCTCTGGGCTAATAGCTTGAGCCTGGAGCCTGCTTGAAATTCTGTGTCTCCCTCTCGCTCTGACCTCGCCCTGTTCATG